GACATCTTTTGGATGCCGCATCTGTCATTTAAGCCACTGGCACTAGTGCCTAACTAGAACAGTAATAGTGCTGCCACAAAGCTTCACTATATGGGCTCTAGTTTTAAGTGCCAATGTTACCAAAGCTAAATTGAAATTTCATTACACTCGATGTTGGTTAACTAAACTATTTTACCTCGAATCACCTTAGTCGGCCAAGTATAACTAAATTGAACAAACTTGTAAAAACATTTGTATTGCGGACTTGATTTGCTTTCTTTTTGTACAGTGAGTACCGCACCCAAAGACAAACCCGTTGATCTCGGCAAGATAAGTAAAAGCTGTAAGAAGAGGATGCGCAAAAAGCAGCGTAAGCAGCAAGCTCTTCTAGAGCAAGAGTTGAATGAACTAGAAGAATTAGAATGTCAGGACCTGGAACGACAAAAACAGGAGACTCGACTTGTGTCCATTATTCGTGACTCCTCTGTTAAAACCGATTTTGAAATTGGCTCGAATAGTTCTGATAAAAAACTTTCAAATATCAATATGAATGAAACACCTCATGTTGGGATTGAAGATGGCGAAATCGAAGATGAGGGTGATACAGAGGTAAACGAAGAGTCTCAGACTGGATGTTCAACGCATATTGACGAACCACGTTCACCGAAGCTTGAGTTTTCTGCCAGTAGGCGACGTAAAAAACGTAGAACAAAAAAGAAAAAAGCAATCATTGATGATTCACTCTCAAAAACGCTTCAATATAAAGTCAATGGTAGTTCCATTGCTTCATGGAGTAAAGGTTAGTATCTTCTATATTCATTATTTTTGGTAAATTATTTCTTGGCAGTAAATATGATGCTATACGACTTTCAGTTTGGTCGTAGCTCGTTTAGCTTTATATTGTTGGTTCGAAATTGTTTTCGTGACTTTCAGAGTATCAGGAAGACCTCGTGGAACGTTCCTAATACATTGTCCTTTTTCATATTCCTGATTTCCGGCATCGGACCATCGGGAATGTACCAAGCCGATTGTCCAATGATAGCAATCATTAATACTATAACAGAGGACATTGGACTAGATGCGTTTCACAAGGTCTTCATAATGCCTCGACCAAGTTGCGAAAACAATCGAACCAACACTATTTCGTGACAATTTGCCTGTATAAGTATAAAGCCAGTAGCCATAATATATCATACTACTACCTGCAGCATAAGATCCACAACTATTGACAAATGTTTTCTTCTTTATCAATATAACTATGATAAACATCTCATTACTATCCACACAGCCCCTAATTCTATTCTCCCATACGATTCCGAAATGTTAATTTCATATGAAAATGTCATATCCGCTTTCCTTATGCATAACTAATTCAAAGCAGTATCTTTAGTAACTATCTTTTCTAAATAGCCTGCCGTGCTCATTACTATTAATTATATCTTGTTTTCTCGTTCTTTCGTTTTATTAAGGTTTGTGCAAATTGATTCATCCTAGCTCATAAAACTGAATTATTCATGTCACTTAAATAGATTTGCTTTATGTGCTAAATCAGTCCCTATTTTTATTTTTCTATAAGTTAGACTTCTTTAGAGTGCATTAATTTTTAAACCACAATGCAGCAACCATTATTTGCCTTTATCCACCTCTACGTTCTAAATTTTGGATCATGTTAACATTTTAAGGATCAACGGGTGATGATCCGAATCGACAAGAAGACAACAAGAGAGAGTGCCTGAATCCTGGCCAAAACGAGCATTTTGAGGTAACATTTTTAATCTTAATTTTAGAATATTTTGCATTTACTATTTCTAATCTATTCTTTAGGTTTTTATCTCACCTTAACATTAACATGTGTGATAAATCTAACTCAAATACAAGCATATATAAATTTGTTTTAGATCTTATTAATGCACATCTCTTCATTTATCCTCTTTTTTTATTAAAACCTCGCACTATCTGATTAATTGGTCATTTAACAGTAAATGGGCATATTGTAGCAACTCCAATCAAATATTCTTTTAATATGATCGGGTTAGCTGATCGAAAGAGGGGTGTCGGTCTGAATAGCAGATATGATGAGGCAATACTATATTTGCCACTAAATCGTTATATTTTATTGT